TTTGTTCTCCTGAAGGGAAATGATAAACAGATTGGACCAGGCAGCTTACGCTGAGGGGCTCCAAACTGTTTAATGATGCATAAGCCACCCCCCCCCCAGAAATGAAAAATGAATGTATTAAACATTTCTCCATCCTCTGCCGGTGGCACCAGCTTGTCTCAGTAGTTTGACTTAACTTGAGAGAAGGAACAGGACTTCATTTAATCAAACTAAAACTTTCTAAGCAGTGGATTTTACTGACCTTTGTTTCACCTCCTGTCGTGGGCGCCTCGTCTGCGCGGGGGTGGGGGGTGTTTTGGATTTAGGATGCAGGCAACAGGCAAGCTGACGGGCCACATTGGTTCTGTCATGTGTCTGACAGTGGGACAGTCTCTGCTGGGCAAAGATCAAGTCATCACTGGCTCTAAAGACCATTATGTCAAGGTACCACACAGCTACAGATAGAAACCATATCTGAGCATCACATCTGAAATATCATGCACATCTTGTGCTGAATAATGCCTCAAATTTCCTTTTTTTTCCTGAGGTGTTTGATGTGGCAGAAGGAACTCTGGGTAATATAGGTCCAGCTCATAACTTCGAGCCTCCGCACTATGATGGCATCGAATGTTTGGCCGTGCAGGGGGACGTGCTGTTCAGCGGCTCGAGAGACAATGGCATCAAGAAGTGGGAGCTGGAGCAGCAGGAGCTTACACAGGTGAGGAGAGTTCTCCAGGACTACAACACATCTCTGCCTTCGTGGTTTAAATAAACACAAACGGCTGCAAAGTGTTTCTGAAGCAGTTACATGCGTGGATAGTTTCCTGCAGACAGTAGGTCAGCTGAGCTTAGTGAACAGGAAGACTGGTTTTATCATGTTCTCACATCCCAGTTCAAACCACACCTTCTGCACAACGTGAGGAACAAGCCTGCACGGTGCACGGACCTCCAAGGCCATGAATTCATGATCTCCTGACCCTCACCTGCAGGGCACGCAGTCTTTTCAGCACACACTATGCAGAGCGGTTAAAGTGGTTAAACTTTGG